CCAGTGGCTGCCCCTGCTGCAAATCCTGCAGCAGCTCTGGATCCAGCAGCTGCTCCAAGCTTTGTGGTCAGTTCCATTCCTGAAGCTCCTTCCACCACTGTCCCTCCGGCATACATGTTTGTACAAACTTCTAAAAACAGGGGAGGAAATTGTGTAACATCTCATTTGTTGTATTTTTTTAATTGGTTTTTGATATCTGTGAGCAGTTGTCATGTAAAGCAAGTAAGTGGGAGAAAATATAATTATGTGAGTAGAGGTGATAAGAACCTCCGACAGTGTTACCCTGTGAGACGGTTATCATGTGAGAGTAACAGAGAAGGGAATAGTAGCAGATGACAAAGCTCTGAAAACATACTAATTTTAAAAATGTACAAAGGAACTAAATTTTCAAAGACAACAGCCAGAAATGGTAAAGTGAAGTCAGAATATTGAGCACATAGCCATGGAAACCTTCCAATGCAATGCTTATTTGTTTTCATGAAAAAAGAAATTGTGGGCCGGCCCGGTGGCGCACTGCTACAGTGCGCCGCTTGGGAGCGCGGTGGCGCTCCCGCCGAGGGTTCGGATCCCACATACAGACCAGCCACTCACTGGCTGAGCGAGGAGCAGGGGCAACACCGAGGGGTGCGATCCCGTTGCTGGTCCCAGTCTGGTACGGGCGCGACACTGAGGGTTGCGATCCGTTGCCGGTCACGAAAAAAGACAAAAAAAAAAAAAAGAAATTGTTGTTAAGCAGTCATATTGGCTCAATATGGAAACCAAAGAGGAAACATACATAATATAATCATGCAAATTAGCAGATGCTAATTTGGTGTCTCGGTTACTAAATAAAATTTAACGAATTATGACTATTCTGCCTGTTACCTTTACATTACGCTTTCGTGGAAAGTTATTTTTTCCAGAGAATTCTGAATATAGTTTTTGCTACGTAATTGTAATGAGAGAAGCAGGTGAGGATTGTAGTAGCTCATAAACGCCAATAGTCAAATATTTGGGGAAATCTCATGCAGATTTTACAGGCTGGACACTTAAAAACAATCTATTGCTAAGTATGAAATTTTAAAAAGTTTTAATATTGGGCATCAGGTCATCTTGTTCCTCTAGTTTATAGCATAGTCGTGGCATTGATATAATATGAATAAAATAGGCACCTGGTAAAACCAAAGAAATAAATTTACAAATATGACAGCATAAGCAATCATACTGCCATATGACAGCATAAGCAATCATACTGCACTAGAATTAGTAATTGAACTCAAGTCAGGATAATGTTAGTTCTGGGGAACAGGATCAAGGATGTGCACACATGAGACTTTAACTGCAAATATGACCAATGCTCAGAACGAAGTTGGGTGGTGGATACATTGATGTTTGTTATATTTCTGTTTACATTTTTCTATATGTGTGAAATCTTCCCTAATCAAAAAATTAATAATCGATTGCTTGAAAGCCATATTTCAGTTTATTAAAGTTTGAAAAAAGTCTAACAAATCTTCAGATATTAAAAACTGTGGCATCAGTGGATAAATTAACTTATTGAAGCCAGACATATGTCATAGAATTGACTAATGTAAAAATATTACCAGCATTTCCCCATTCAGTGGTAACAGTTCCCAGCATGTGCACACATGCAAATTAAGAAAATAATTTTTAATACTTTTTATTTTTGAATATTTCTCATTTAACCCATCATTGCTTTCAAAAATAAATTCAATGTTCACTTACCAGAATTTTCCATGAAATCAGCTCCATTGGCTGTTACAGATGGCACACAAATATTTGTAATTTCCTGTAAATCATGTTCAAAAAATAAATACATTTAAAAGTGAATCAGATTTCAGAGCAGTATAGGTGAAAAGTGGCCCTTTGCAAATAATACTGTTGCGAGAAACTCTTGCAGGAGTAACCGTATTTATGATTTGACATCTGAAGAGCTAAAATCCTAAAAGTCTCCATCCATTTCAACATTGACTCTCAAAGTGAGGGTCAAGAAGCCTCTTAATTTTATACCCCTCTACCCCTTTTCCCATCTCAGTGTAGATCAATTTTTTTTCTCTATATGATTGAAGTAAGTATTTTACAAACTGGATCCTCACCTTGTCTTCAGGATGGGCTCCTTCGATTCCCCACTGATGAATTGTTCCTTCTGAACCATCGGGAACTGGAATAAAACCACCTGTCCCTCCCCCAATAGGACCTGTCCCACAGTCACAGGTCAGCAGCAGGAGGGGAGCCACTAGTGAAAAACAAAACAAAGTATCAGGATATTGGAATCACTTGGAAACAAGTTGATGTGAAAATTGTCAGAAATGTTACAAAGAAAATACAATATTTTAAATACTTATGGAAAATTCCTAATGAAAAGCAAAATTTGCTTTTACAAAATAAAATTTGGTAAATTAAGCACACTAAAATTTGATATGGTTATGCAACTGAGGGAGACAGATTGGATCATTTCTTGCTATATGTATATTGTTGTCTTAAAATAGGCACTGTTTGATGAATGATAAAGGTGGCTGTTTGGGTTCTCAGTTATTTTCCATAACATTTTTTTTTTTTTTTTTAAAAAGGACCGGTAAGGGGATCTTACCCCTTGACTTGGTGTTGTCAGCACCACGCTCAGCCAGTGAGCGAACCGGCCATTCCTATACGGGATCCGAACCCATGGCCTTGGTGTTATCAGCACCGCACTCTACCTAGTGAGCCACAGGCCGGCCCCATAACATTTTTTTGATTATTGCATTTATTTGTACACATTGAGGCTATACATATTGTTTGGGGTGAATATACAGATGAGTATATGAACTGGATAGCCAAGATTTTAGGTGGGCATGATAAAGTGTTAATAATCTGGTCTCTAATGATCTCTTAGTAAACAGCAATTAATCAGCAAACTCCCTCAGCAACTAACGTGATGACCTATTAAATGGCTATCAATGCATTCTTAATTGTGACTTGAGAATCTCTTCATTGTGACTTGAGCTTAGAGGGGTCTTCCTGCCAGTGTAAATATCATTCTTCCTGTGAACATTCTTGACCATAAAGATTAATGTCATTCTCATGCTCACTGACCAAGAGAGAAATACTCATTCTTGAAAGCAGATGTTTCTCATGCTCTGTTGTCACTGACCCCACTCCCATCTCTGGCCTTCTAAGGCCACCTGAATCCTAATCCTAACATTCAAACTCTGTTCACTTAGAAGCAGCTCAGTGAGGGGTTTAAGAGCACAGCCTCTGGAATCAGACTTGTAGGGTTTGGATTTTGGCTCCACAACTCACTAAGTATGTGATGTTGGCTCAGACAATCTTCCTTGGCTCAGTTAACTCATCCATAAAATGGGGGAATAAATAGTATTTACATCATAGGTTGTTGTGAGGATTAAATGAGTTAATACAGGTAAAGGAATGCAATGAGTGCTATGCGGATTTGCTAGTGGTATTGTTAGGATGGGCTACATTAGTTATGCAAATTGAGTTGGTCCTATATATAGAACGAAAAAATTAGGTCAAGTGTATAAAACAGGTTGGACATAATTAATATAGTCTCTCAAAATTTAATATAATGTTCATATAAATAATACTTCTAAATGCTTTATTTATTGCAGTTTTCAATTCTATGACTTTGTTAAACGTGTAGGAAAGATTGAACACATGAGGTAACAGAGTAGTTTGAAAGGGTGGTGAATGCAAACCTATAGTCAGTATTTTTAGATGGACATAATAATCTTTTAGAAATCTTACTATCATTGTATGTGCAATGTGTATTTGGTTTTTATATATGTACACAAAGAAAGATTTTAAAAGTGTTGAGTGTATATCTACAGTCTGAAAAATATATGTGCTGTTGTGCACAAAATTCAAAACAAGGCATTTCGCAAGTGGTAGGATTACACAAAGCAAATATTTTTGTTTGAATAACACAGGATATTACCTCTGACTGCCATTCTGAGCCACAATCTCAAATATGCAGTGGCCTACAGGACATACCACACACTTAAAAGTTAAATATTTCAAGATCAAATTCATTATTGCCTCCGTGCACTTCTCTGCTTCCTCTAATATTTTCAATTTTATTTAATGGCTTCAACAATCACTGACTACCAAACCTAAACTCCTGGGTATTATGTGGGCTTCTTATCTGTTCTTCCTATCCATGACTGTCTTAGTCTATTCAGGCTGCTATAACAAAAATATCTTAGACTGGGTAATTTATAAACAACAGAAATTTATTGCTCACAGTTCTGGATACTGGGAAGTCTAAGGTCAAGGCACCAGCAGCTTTGGTGTGAAGGCCCAGTTCTCACCAATGATGCTTTCTATGTGTCCTCACATGGTGAAAGGGTGCACACAGTCTCCCTCAAGCCTCTTTTGTAAGGGCACTGATCCAATTCATAAGAGTTCCACCCTCATGATCTAGTTACCTCCCAAAGGCTCCACCTTCTAATATCATCACTTTGGGAGTTAGGATTTCAACACATGAATTTTGGGGGGACAAACATTTGAACCATAGCAATTAGTCTCCAAATCCTTTCCAGGTGCCACTGTAAAGTCTCACGTACCTATTCATTCCTTTCCAGTCTCATGTCACAGCTCTAAATTTGGCCTCCACCATCTCTCTTGAACTATCACAATAACCTCTGAACTATTTTTTCCTTTCTAATTTACAGTTCACACTGCTGTTGGAGTTAGTTATCTTTCTAAAATACAAATATGATCATGCTAGTCTTTTATCCAAAGCCTTTAGCAACTCCTCTTTCTCATAGCTTACAGCACAAACACCACAGCATGTATATGTAAGCCTTTTCTAATTAGTCCCAACACATTCTCTGTTTCATCTCATTCACTCTTCATAGTTCCTCTGTGCTTTAGCCTGCTGAGGCTGTGTGATTCCTTTCCCTCTTTTTATATTAATTATATCCCACTCATTCTTCAAGCTCAGTTGGACCATTCTCCTATTCCAAGAAGCCTTCTGTAATACCCCTTTGTAGTCACTTGCCTTATAGCTTTATCATGGCATAATTTTTTCCCCTATAGTTAGACACGCATAAGTCTATGAACCACATGAAAACCAGAATCAAGTTACCTTTTTACCTGGAAGCTAGCATGGTGACTCACATACAGGTAATTAAAAAACTTTTGTTGTTGAAATTGACTAATATGATATTGAAAAACTGAAGCTTTGGTGTCACTTTCAGCTATTAATATTTCTAAATGATAAATGGTAACTTAGAACAGTAAATGCTTTTGGGGAAGGAGGAAGAGAAAAATATAGTGTTTCTGGAAAGCCACTAGCTGTATTTATAGCTGTATTTATAGTCTGAGTGATGGCTATGTGTGTGCTTGTCATGTAATTTCTGTACTTTTTGGTAGTTAAAAAATATTTCATAAATTAAAAAAAATTGATGAAAATAATCATTACGAAAATTAATTTTAACTCTAAAAGTCTATGATTCTATAGTAAGTTAGGAAAATGATTGTGAATTTATCAAGGATTTCTCTTACTTATGTGAGAATTTGCCATGAAGTTCTTTTAAATAGAGACCTCATACATTCGAAATACTATTTGGTTCACAAGATTTTGATTCAAATGCAACTTTTCAGAAACCTATCTATTGAATAAAATAAATTTTGCTTTTATCAAAAAATAATACTTATTTATAGTTTCTCTAAATGTGTTCAATAAACTTAATCATGTCAAGTGTGAAAGTCTTGAAGGGGATGTACCTCTAGGTGGTAAGCTACGCTGAGGAAATGCTGAATAAAACAATAACTTCTTAGAGTCTGTGCTAGATCCATGTGCATTGTAAAGTTCAAAACCTATGATATCCTATGAACTTGTATTTTCCCTAAGGTTATTGGACCAGAATTCTCTTTTTATTTTAGAATCTCATGAGACTTGTTAAGGAAAAACTGCTTGAAGTTAAAATAAAATCCATATGAAATTAATATTTAGCAAAAAAAAAAAAAAAAAAAAAGAGAGACTTGAATGTAAGCAAAATATCTTAGAAAGTGCTGCACTTGTTGGTAAGTCATAATTTTGACCATGAATATTAATGGCAGCGTATAAAGAGTTTTCATGATTTATTTTTATCCCTCAAGATTCTCTTGTGCTTTTTTCTAAATGTTTGCTATGTATGACTTGCTTTGCTGTATTAATATAGATTGTTAGCAAGTGATAAGTTAAACATTTCAAATTCTTCCTGAAAATGCCATTTCTCCCTAGCTTTGCCTATTAAATCATGAGCTCACAGTTCTTCCTGTGTTGCACAGCTGAGCACAGGCAGCAAGAAGGCCCTTGCAAAGGAGGTCACCCTGCTCAGCACAGAATGAAGTGCTGGTGGTATACTCACACAGCAACAGCAGGAGACCCAGGAGGAGCAGGCCGATGGCAGCGGGACCCAGCCTCCCTGAATCCAGCTCTCCATACGTGCTCCCAGGTTCTTTGTCTGTGGGAGAAGTTCTACAGGTGCTCCTGTCGTCACACTGGCAGACCTTCAGAGTCAAGCTCTCTGGTGTCTCGCACCGCCTGTTCTGACTGTCCGTAACTATGAGGGAGATACTGTGCTCTCCAGGAGATAACTCTTTCTGAGCTCTCAGGAGTGCCGAGGTAGCTGTAGAGAAACAAACATAAACTGAATAGTAGGACAAGGTGTCTGTCTTAGTCCATTTTGTATTGCTATAACAGAATACCACAGACTGTGTAATTTAGACAGAAAAGAAATTTATTTCTCACAGTTCTGGAGGTTGGAAAGTCCAATATCAAGTTGCAGGTATGTGGCGAGAGCTTTGTACTGTGTCATCTCACGGTGGAAAGTAGAAGGGCAAGGAGAGAGTGCGAAAGCAAGAGGGGACTGACTTCACTTTTATAGCAACCCACTGCAGCAATAACGATATTAATCCATTTGTGAGGGCAGAACTCTCATGACCTAATCACGTCTTGAAGGTCCCACCTTCAACACTGCTGCTTTGGGGATTAAGATTCCAACACAGAACTTTGGGTAACACATTCAAACCACAGCAGTATCTTTTGCTCTTAAAACCACCTAGTTTTGTTTAGCAGAGCTAGAGTTGCCACAGAGATTACTGTCACAAATAGCAGGGCTGATAGGAGAGTGAAGTTTGAGTAGTGATGAGGGCCATAAGGGGTTCAGTTGGGTAAACCTGTCTGCACCTGCCTTCTTGTCCTTCTCTCTGACCCAGGTGGGCCCATTATTCTTCTTTGTGAAACTCAGTCTTATCCTGCTTTTCCTACCAAAGAGGATTGGAGGTGGGCATCATTTAAATGTCAGGCCCCCCTCTCTTGGGGCTTAACTGCTCTCCTGCATGTCTGCACCAGTCCTCGGAGTCGTGGCCCTTGAGTGTATGACTTCCCCCTAAGTCCATGTTCTTGTGTCTGACTTATCAAGACTGTGTTTCAGCTTTGGCTGCTGCTGCCTCAACTGCTCTTCTCAGTTCTCACCCCATGAGCTGAAGGCCTGTCATACAGGATTTCCTTGTGCTGATGGCTTGTTACCTATCTGACTCCTGAGCATCAAATTGTTCTCCATTCTCCACTGCTACATTGCCCCTTTCTAAGTGGGATCCTGCTGCAGCTCTCGTAAGCTTCAGTCTTGTGTTCCTTGAATCGTTCTTGACCCTACCATGCCCTTGACATTGTGCCTTGCCCATCCAGCCCAACTATTGTTGCCTTGCTCAGCCTCACCTGAGCAGGTACATCTAGTGCCATGTCCTGCCCCTCTCTGATCTTTCTTTGGAAGCCTCTTCATTGGCCATGTGTCTGTAAGCTCATTTGGAGCCAAATGCTATGTGAACAGTTTGGAGCTAGATCCTTACATCCTCACAGGAGCAGAAAGGCCCCGGGGGAGGCCATGGAGAACAAGATCCCCTTGGTGACGCTGGCAGTGGCTGATACCTATGACTGGAAGACACTGTACAGCACATTCACGAAAGGAAGCAAGATTGCTTCAGAAAACAACCAGATAAAGTGAGTTAGTTTTCAAAAGGCTTGAAGTGGCCTGGTGGTCACTATAAAATCTAGAAAGGATGAAGATATTTATTAAGTCTAATGTCTATTTCCATGAAACTTCTAGAAAACAAAGCAAATGTAAAATGAGCATGGTAAATGTTAGGAAAAAGGAAGGATGGATTAGCCATTCCCCATTGGCTAATGGGCTGATGAATTCTAGCCTACCATGTTCTCAAGGTCCCTGACTAGTGGCATAGACTCAGTGGCACTTCCTGTGAGTCTTGAGCAGGCCGACTTCTTCAGGGCTTGTGTCTGCTCACAGACTGCCCCATTCAGAAAAATTTATATATTTAGACATGTAGAAAGCTGTGCAACAAAAATAGATGCCTGACTCTGATATTACTTTGATGCACTATGGAGATAGAAATAAACATTAAAATAGAAAAAAAAAAAGAAATGAAAACCAGAAAATATTAAGAACAGAATATTCAGTGGTTCTAATGTATTATCATATCCTTCCTTTTCTCTTCTGAAGAGAGAAGGAATTCACAAGTCAAGAACTATATCTTCATTGCAAAGAATTTGTTCAATTACTCTTGGGATGGACCTGCTCTCAACTGAGCTCTCTGACTTTTCTGGAAACATAAAGAAGCAGCAATTTTCATTTATGGAGGCAACTTGACTGTAATTACTCACCATTGAGTGTTGTGATCCTCCACTCAACTGGCAGCTTTAGAGATTGCTCATCCAGTGAAAATGTGTAGGGGGTAACATACTTATTATTCAGTGCTCTAGCTGAGACAACCACGGAAGATGAGGAGCTACAAATTACTTCCTTTTCGAGGAAAACTGTTGGACAATTTTCATCAAAATCGGGAACTTCAACATATATGGTGCCTGTAGAAGTTTTACCCGTGTTTTCTGTAAGAATAACATTTTAGAATTAAAGAAATAAATATAAAACAAAGTTGTACAAACAAAAGAATCTTTTAAATCTCTCTTTCTTGCAGCCAAGTTAGTGGGTCTTCTTATGAGAAATGATATTTGTTATTCTCAGGAGCAAAACGATGTCATCCTATTTCTGCATCTTGTAAAAAATAAATTTAAATTTACCCAGTTGGGTGGTGTGTCTGATTAGGAGCAAAAGCTATCAATTGAATATGCTTGAAACCAAAACTTGTAAGGTAATGAATGCACTGATTACAAGTGAAATCAGCACAAAAATAATAGCTTTCTTAAATGTGTACATTTCATTTGTAATCAGTGTGTGAAATATTTTTTCTTCTATGGCTTAGTCCATTTTGTATTGCTATAACAGAATACCACAGACTGTGTAATTTAGACAGAAAAGAAATTTATTTCTCACAGTTCTGGAGGTTGGAAAGTCCAATATCAAGTTGCAGGTATGTGGCGAGAGCTTTGTACTGTGTCATCTCACGGTGGAAAGTAGAAGGGCAAGGAGAGAGTGCGAGAGTTGTATTTGGAATAAACAAAGATTTATTTTTATTTCTCAAGATTTAAAAATTAACTGAAAAACGTTTAAAATGCTGACAAACAAACAAAATAAAAATCTCTCGGTGGTGAGATTATGAGTCTTTTCTGTTATTACCCTTAGTGCTCTTTTCTGTTTTCCCAAATGGTAATATTTTTGGTGTTTGTTTGTTTGTTTTGTTTATGTGTATTTGTTTATTAACTTGAGCATAAACTAATTTTATACTTGGGGAAACACACACTCAATAAATATTATTTTAAAACATTCCAGAAGAGGAACTTTTATTCTTCAATGATATAGGTTCTCAGGGTCTCTACAGGTAACTCACAAAAACACCTCACATTAGAGTTGAGCTTCTCTGATGGGCTTTCTCTATAAACCTTGATCCATCCTCTCAAACCCTTGAATTCCTCTGGGTCAAAAAATTCCTGCCTCAACCACAACAAATCGCAGGGACCAAACACAGAATTCAGTGGTCCTACGAACTCCAATGAGAAGCTGGAGCTCAGTCTTCTCTACTGGATTCAGCTGCCTCAGACTTGAGACCTGAGCTCCCTGATTTCATTATCTAGTGATCAAGATAATATGTTAAATAATCACAATCATCTCTATATAAAGAAATGCCAACTGGAGAACCATTTCTTTAAAAATGATTGAAATATTTTTCTTACCATCTATGGCCAGAACCTCAGCTGTGATTGTTTTGTTAACTATGAAAGTAGAATCCCGATCTAAGTTTTTGGCAAATTTGATTTGGGCAGTTTTTGAATCAATAGTTAGCAAACCACCATCATTGCGTCCCATAACGTATCTGTTTTAAAATAGAAAAAAATAATAATTTTCTTTCAAATATGGAATATTACATATTTAATGAAAGTGACTCATTTACTGTTTAATATATTTTGTGTTTATAGAAAGCAACAGAAAATTAATATAGCATGGATGATCCATATTTTATAATCCTCAAATGTGTGTTAGCCTGTTTTTTTTTTATTTTCTGCTCTGTGCAATAATATAAAAATACCTGTGTCCTTGATCTTTATAATATAGCAATTACTTTGCATGCTGCTCTTATATTTTAGGCATATATGTCTTTGTATGTGCTGCTTTATCTGACTGAAACATGGTCTTCTGGTGAACTTCTACTCTTTTGTAAAACTCAACTGAAAGTTTCCATGAATCTTTCTCCAAATCTCTCTTGGCGGGTGAAGGCGTTCTTCTCTTAGTTTCCATGTTGACTTATATTATCTTTGCTCACAGCACAGTATATTCCAATGATTTAGCTACATGTCTCTTCCTTAGTTATCCATTTCCTTCTTTCTGTCAATTTTGTATTTCTTTTTTTTTTTTTTTTTTTTTTTAAAGATGACCGGTAAGGGGATCTTAACCCTTGACTTGGTGTTGTCAGCACCACGCTCACCCAGTGAGCAAACCGGCCATCCCTATATAGGATCCGAACCCGGGGTCTTAGTGTTATCATCACCACACTTTCCCGAGTGAGCCACAGGCCGGCCCCAATTTTGTATTTCTATGCTTGGTACATCCTATTTGTAATAGATTATAGATTAAAACTACACCAAAAAATAATAAAATGTCATAAAAAAACAGTCTTACTTGACATAAGAGGCAGCTTTGCCAGTGTCTTCATCAATGGCTTGATATGTTCCCACGATGTAATCAACCAGTTTTTTACTACTTATGCCTTTTTGCACAGTAAATGTCTTGGAAGTGGGACGGAATGTAAATCCTTCTTTGACATTTGTTACCTCAATTGTGACTTTGCTTGGCTGAACTTGATATTGAGAGATTACTGATTGGTGAAATTCAGCTTTGTTTTTGACAGCAATACTAAATTGCACACTTTGTAGCTGTTCATAATCTAGAGCCTAGAGTAAAAATAAAAATAGAAGGAAGTGTCACGAAAGTACAATCCGGCAAACCTAGCAGAGGACAAGAGAATTTTATGCAAGATGCTATGAATCGGTCCTTTTATTTCTATATGGCAAAATAGTTTCAGAGATTATTGCAATGTTGAGCTAGAGAAAGCTTTAAGATTCTTGACTAATGAGACCTCATTTTGGTAACTAATATTTGCAAATCAGGGTACCTCTTTTTTAGACTAGCAAAATATTATAGTCTCTTTAGCCGTGAAGTGTAGTGGATAGAATCCAAGATTTGGTATAGTAACATCGTTTGATTCCTGGTTCTACTACTTAATAGCTATGTGACTAGGGGCACAATATTCAATTTCTCTAATCCTCTGTTTTTCACTTCTGAAAAAAACAATACCTTATCAGGTTGTGATAAGGACTGAACAAATTATGGCCCACAATACATTCCTATAAGTCGTAGCTATGGTCATCCAAGAAATATTCATTGGGTTAATGTGCAGTGATTTCTTTCCTGACTTTTAAAGTGCCTAAGTGACAAAGGCAAATTATCTTAATGACCTTGGTTGGCAAAGAGACCTTTGCAAAGCAGTGAGTGGGTGGGTTACAAACTCTTTGTAGAACCATTTTCAGATGGTCTTGCATTAAAACTACTTGTTTGACCTTCTTATCGAGGTGGCCCAAATCAAGGCCTGAGGAATTCCAGAATAGATTTTTTTCATTTACTCGTTTTTTTTTTTTTTTTTTTTTTTTTTTGGGGGGGAAAAAAAAA